TGTACTGGGGGAGGATTATTAATTGTACAAGTCACTTCTCATTCCTGAGCCTTCCTTCTCCAAAAAATGGGTAATTTTAGCCCTGATTGTGGATAAGGAATATATAGCTCCTGCTCTACCAGTGTCAGTGATATAGCAAGTTTCATCTTGCTTGTATATTGCTTATGTCTTCCATGAATTGCCTTCTTTGCATATCCAGTTTAGCTATGATCATTTTCTTTCATTCCAGGTTTTTCATCTGGATTTTATTATCACTTTTATAGACTTTTTGTGTTAAAGATAACCAAAGATCAAAGTGCACCTTACATGCCACAAATTTTCCTCTTAAGAATCAAGTAACATCTGTGTAGGAAGCATTTTTAAAGGTCACCCATAATTTATTGTTGTTCTTCTTTATTCCTTTAATTCAATAGATAAGTCCAAGATAAAGTAAAGTGAACCTGCTGGCCAACCTATTGCAGCTACAAAACAATTTTCTATGAGTCAGAGAGTATAACTTTCACCTGAGCTTGAGAGATGGAAACTTTGTGATTATTCTCTACCAGCTGGTTAAAGCGGTGTATTGAGGGCAGGTAGTCCTAGGTTTAAATTGCAGCTTTACCCCTCTGTAGGTTTGTAATTTGGTTATTTACCTACTGTGCTTCTCATTTTTGTCTGTAAATTAGTGATGTTCCCTAATAATTGGTGACATGCGTATGTAAAGCAACTAATATAAAGATTAAAAACAGATTTCATTTTGCACCCATGCTATGAATATTTGACTTGTGATTGGGTGGGGTGATGTGTTAAAACTCCTGTGAAATTGAGAGAAAAAAACTTCTACATCTCCAAAAGTATACAATAAGACAAGTTGTAAGTGTAACTCCTATGTCTGTCCCGTCACTTGCTACCCCACCTCATAGCATATACTTAATTTATGATTGTTACTGGCGTCATTTGTTAAGATATTCAGGATGATTATATGAAGTTTTATAAAATATAATGAGTACTACCCAAGTAGGCTAGTTTATATCCATTTTTTATATTTACCATGATTACATTATATTACTTATTTGTAGCCCTTTAATATTTTCACATCTCCTATGTTTTACAAACTAGTAAGTTACTTATGAGTTCTGACTGAAGGACATGAGCTACCCACTCATTTAGGAAATTAATAATTGATTTCAAATTAAGTTTTAATTATGTTCAATTTCTGAAAATGAAAGAAAACACTCATACTTTCTGAAGTGACTTTTAGACTTTACCTGAAGTGATTTTTAGACTTTAATAAAGATTTAAATTGTAAAAGCATTCTGGACTTAAGGTTCTGTGGTATTTTTTCTGTTCAGAAGAGCTGCCATTATTCCAAAAATCAGTTAATATTTTATAAATAAGAAGCGGAGGCTATATTAAATACATTAATTATGTAGATTTCAAAATGTGACCTCTGAGTTCCTAAAGGGCCAAAGTAGAATTTCAAGTTCATGCCAAATGAGACCCATAATGCAAGATCATCTTCCCTCTGGCTTTGAAACCCATTTTATAAATACGTATTTGAATATCATTTGTCATTAATTGTGAAAACTTCAATACTGTGGTATTTTGGCATACTTTCTGTTATGGAAATCATATTTAGTATCATTTTTGTATAAAGAAGAGGTTCACTTTTTCTAAGAAAACTTACATGCTGTATTTGGCAATATTTGTCCCACATATCCCTCATTTAAAAAAATCTGACAGCGTATCAGTTTTTACTGTGCTATTAAATTAAAAACAAGAAAATTATTGTAGAATTTTGGGAGATTTAGAAAAATTAATTCCTAACCTATCATTCTAACAACTAAAAGGATATTTTGTATGTTCTATTCCAGTATTTTGTCTTTGCTTGAGTATTTCTTGCCCTAAACATGTATTTTTTTATTTTATTAAAAAAAGAAACAAAGTTTTATAATCAAATAAGAGCATAACAATAGTTACTACACTGTGCAATGCTATCTTTAAAGTAGCCACCCAGAACATAAGACACGATTAGTCCTTAAAATGCCAGCATGGGAAAATGTTTTTTCAACTATCATTTTTGTGATAATATAGTTTAAGGATTACTCTTAAAAGTAGAAATACATACATATACCTGAGTAGGTAACATAAATTTTTCTACATATTACCTACTGTTTGTCACCAACATCATGTACTAACCTGCCAAGCAAAGGGCATTCAAAAGGTCAGGAGACAAACCATCAGACTTATTTGTATTGACTTTGCTAAGCTGATAAAAATAACATGAAATTTTAAAAATTAGAGCAAGGTTTTTGAAGCCAAAAATATACCACCAGTGTGGGTGATACATTAGGAAAAGCCTCTGTGCCCCAAGTGGGAAAAGCTATCATGTTTATAATTACTTTAGCTTAAGGAACTATCTGGAAAATAGCGCAAGTTACCAGTCTGGTTCCTGGTCTGAGAAACTGCATGTCATCTACATTTTCAGCACTTAGTAAACTATTAATATTTCAGTTAATATTTAAGTTAAGTACATCCTCATCTTGCAATATAGTTGTTTTTCTATCATTGAACATTTTCCCATACTCCATTATAAGGGAGAGGGGACGAAAATAAGCATGCAACTGATTGCTTTGGGCTATTTTTTTTTTTTTAACAGGCAACCTTTTACAAAATAGCAAAAGAACAGTACAGACAATAGAGTTATAAACAAAGTGGTAGGAAATTGACAATGCTTGTTGTATTACATATTGATATCTTCAACATGGTTTCTCATGAAAACAAATAGAGACATGCAATATTGGTCCGTCAAGGACTCAACAGTTTCTTTCAGCAAAGAAATAGAAGACAGTAGATCAACTACTTGTTGTTAACTATCCTGTATATACATACATACAAAATTTCTCCTTCTTTCCCTTCTCTTTTCCCACATCCCAGTTGCCCTTTACCCTTGAGCATTTTCATTTCATTTCACAATGTCTATCATACCTCCGAGTTTATATTAATTCTTTCGGGTTTTATACTAGTGAGACAATGCGGTACTTGCACATATAGGTCTGATTTATTTCACTTATGAGTATGGTCTCTAGTTGTGACCATTTACCTATAAAGGCCTCGAGTTTATCTTTCTCTATAGCTGAGTAATATTCCATTATATAAAAGTACCACAATTTTCTTATCCAATCCTCAGTGGATGGACCTTTGGGTTGCTTCCACAATTTAGCAATTACAAATTGTGCTGCTATGAACATAGTTGCACATATATCGCTATGATATGATATTTTTAGATCTTCTGGGAAAATACCCAATTAATCAACAAATTCAGCAGTGTAGCTGGATGCAAAGTCAACACCCCAAAATCAATAGCATTCCTATACACAAACAACAAACAGACTGAGAGAGAAATTAAGGAAACCATACCTTTCACAATAGCATCGAATAAACTGAAATATTTAGGAATCAATCTAACAAAAGAAGTAAAAGAGCTCTTCAATGAAAACTGCAGTACTCTGAAAAAAAGAGATAGAAGATTTCAGTAAATGGAAAAATATTTCTTGCTCATGGATAGGAAGAACCAACATTGTGAAAATGCCCATACTCCCAAAATTGCTGTACAGATTCAATGCAATTCCCATTAAACTACCATTAGCATACCTCACAGATCTCGAGAAAACATGCCTGAAATTCATCTGGAACCAGAAGAGACCCAGAATAGCAAAAGCAATCCTGAGCAAGAAGGACAAGTCAGGTGGAATCATAATCCCTGACCTGAAATTATACTACAAAGCTACTGTCATAAAATCCACCTGGTACTGGCTAAAAAACAGACCTCAGGATCAATGGAACAGACTGGAAGAAACAGCTACAACCAAAAACACACTCAGCCACCTAATCTTTGATAAAGTGACCAAATAGACTCACTGGAAGAACGATAGCCTCTTTAATAAATGGTGCTGGAAAAATTGGCTTTCCACCTACCAAAGACTGAAAATAGACCCAAGTCTATCACCAGGCACCAAACTCAAGTCAAAATGGATCATAGATCTCAATATTAAAACAGAAACACTAAATCTGTTGGAAGAGAAAGTAGGTAAAACCTTGCTTTGGGCTTTATTTTCATTTTTATTCTTTTGCTGGGTTCTTAGAAAAATGCTAAATTTAGTAACTACAATTGAATAAGTTGAACATAATGACAAGTGGCTGAAAGGTTGCAGACTAGTTTTGTATCCTGTCAAAGCTAAGTATGTTTGATAATTGTCATGTATTCATCAGATTTCTTGAAATAAAACTAAAAAATTTTATTTACTTATTAACATAAAATGCAAATGATTTAATCCAGGTCCATTTGTACCTTGTGCATTTAACTGTACTTAAATTCCTAAAGAGGATGTGAATACAAAGGAATAAATAGTTATAGAGAAGAAAAAATCAACTTATCCCTGAAAAGACAAATAGTGACAAAGGGGCGATGCTTATAAATCAGATGTTGCTGGGTAAGAAGTCAAAGCCATACTCCTTTCCAAATGTTAGCATTTCCTGTTTTATATCACTTTTGAAACACAAGGTTTTCCGTCTATAAAATGAATCTCATGATGACATTTTTGGGAATTGAATGAGAACATGAAAGAACTCATCACAGTATCTGAAACTCTGCAGTATGTAAACATTATGATGATAAGGGTGCCACTGCAAATACTCTGAGGAAGCAGTAACCTCAAGGTTTTGTCTTAGATTCTATTCTAATTTTAAGTTCATTTTAACTAACACATAATAAACAGAATATATGAATATTTATGGGTACCATGTGATATTTGGGTGCACATAAGTATTGTGTAGTATTTAAATCAGGTTAAACATATCTATCTCTTCAAACATTTGTCATTTCTTAATGGTGGAAATTCTCAAAGTTCTTGTGGCTTTTGGAGATGTAAGGTACAGCGGCATTAGCTACAGTCATTCTATTGTGCAGTAGCATAACAGAACGGACAGCCTCAACTTGAGCTGAATAATTCTCTTTCCAGGTGAAGCGTACATGCGATTAAGCAAGCTGCCTGAAGCAGAGCATTGGTATATGGAGTCCCTGAGATCCAAGACTGACCACGTCCCTGCTCATCTCACCTATGGGAAATTGCTAGCTCTCACAGTGAGTACCTACCTCTCTCACTCCCAGAGAAACTGATTTTCTCCATGCAGACTGGGATAGCGGTGGGGAGGTACTGTGAGCCAGTTAACTCAGGTGACAACTTGAGTGTCCGATTGGTAGAACTCTGTATGTAAAATACAGAAAAAAATATTTTACTTTGCTTATGGAGTTTGGTGTGCATTTCTTGAGTGGAAAATATAAATGAAAAATATAAACAGAGAATTCCAAGTGTGTGATTAGATAATAGTTGTCCTAATAGCAATATTTGCATAAATACTGTGTTCCGTAAGCCAGTGTTATCCACAGATTGTCTATACTTTGAACTAAGTCTGATTCTGACAAATAACCTTGGAATTCCTTCTAATTCAAATTATTCTATAAGGTAAGGGGATCTATCACTTGGCCACTCACTCAGTGACAAATCCTTTTGGAAACCAATTTCTTGAAAGTCATTTTACTGTGAGACATAAGAAATTGATAATACTGTTTGTGACCTACAAAAATATGTATTTAAAAGTGGTATTAATATCTCTGGGGAATATTCAAAAACATAAATTTTCTGAACCCACACATTTAATAAATGGTAGAACTAGACCTTGATCCCAGTATCTGTATGTTTTTAGTTACACTACTGAATTGCTCTTTAGTATTAACAAGAAATACATATGATCAAATCCAAGAATAAAACGGTCAGGAGGGTGATGCCTTAAGTGAATTCACTGATAAATATCCTTCAGAGAAATGTTTTATTTGTATATACACACAAAGATTAAACTAAAATGCCCTTACAGGAATTAATGTTAGCTCAAGTAACCTGAAAACATCCCACTCAGAAATATTAAATTTGTCTAACAAAATGTAGCAAGTGATACTTCTACTGTATATCTGAGCTTGACAGGTTGGGAGAGTCTCCAGGAGCCAGCGATGAAGTAGTAACTAAAGATGGGAAGATTGAGAACGAGGCAGATTCCACAGCTCCTTTGGACCATTTACCAGTTGTGGAACCAGTGAAAAGTAGTTTTTTGTTTGTTGCTATTTTTTCTGGAATAGGACACAAAACTTTGAGCCAATGCAAGGCCAAAACTAGATGCTTAAATAGAGCCGAGGAATTCCTGCCCTTAGTATCGGGATAACATAAAAACAAGCTTACATGCCACAGCAAGTAAACGCCATGAACATGTGACCATCTCAGAATGGCATTTGGACAGAGGACGAGTGTATTCTGTGCTGTGAATTTGTCAACCCCACGCTCCCTTTGGAAACTTAGGTTCTTTTCTTTTTTCTTTAACTTAGGTTTTAAATTGAATTATCTGATCAGGGACTATTTAGGCCAAGAAATTAAATAAAAATGAATCCACCAAAACCCCTTATGAATATGTGCTTTAGAAGAACACAGATCTAGCCTGTCTTGGTGGTATATACTTGTAATTCCAGCAATCCAGGAGGCTGAGGCAGGAGGATCTCAAGTTCAATACCAGCCTGAACAACTTAGTGACTTAGTGAGACCAGTAAAATATAAGAAGTAAGGGTATGGGAGCTGGCACTGGGACATAGCTCATTCAAAAGCCCTTGGGTTTGATTGTTAGTACCAAAAGAAAAAAACAAAATAAAATAATACATTTAGGAGTAATTATAGTACCAAAAGAACAATGGACAAAGAAATTGATCATGTAGGTAAATGAGAATCTACTTTCACAGCATAAAATATTGAGGAAGAATAACTGTACAAGAACACTCAGAGCAGGAGCATGCACTTCAGTGGATAAGATATTTAAAGAGGGAGAAGATATTTAAATGTATTTTTGAAAACCATAGAGTGGATAGAAATGTTCTAACTGACTTGTCAGAGGATAGGAAGCTATAATCTAAAGATACTTTGTCTGAAATGGGTTAAGAGTGAACAGTATTAGTCCCCAGCCTGAAGAGGCTCAGGACTTCAGGAAGCTGGTGTAGGAGGGTGTGAGTTGAAGGGCATAAAGTGGGAAAATAGATGTCAGCCTAAAAACACATCAGTCAGATCTCGCCTGTGTCCACAAATGCCAGGAACCAGCCTCCCACTCCACAGACTCCTACTCACATTGCTAGAACAAGTGAGTAAGAGAGGTCTCAGACTCAGGAACAGCTTGCTCAGTTGGAATGGAGTGAAGAGGGAAGCGGTGCTGTGGTTTAGATATGGTTCCAGTGCACCTCCCAAAGGTTCGTTACTGCGAGCTTGGTCCCTTAGTGGTGGTGAGGAGAGGTGATAAAACTTTTCATGGGTGAGCTAGTTAGGTCTTGGGGATATCACCATCCAAAGGTGTTAATTCTGGTCTTGCAAGATGAGTTTTTGTGAGAGCAAGTCATTATCAAAACAGCAGCCTGACCTCTCAGTCTCTTGGCTTCCTATCCTGTCATGTGACCGCCCCTTCTTCTCATGCTGTCACCGTGGGGCCATCTGCTATGGTGTAGCTAGAACACGCTCACCAGGGCCAAGAGGATGCTGCTGCCATGTTTTTGAATCTCTAGAACTGTGAGCTAAATTAGCCTTTTTTTGAAGTAAGCTTCTGGTATTTTGTTACAGCAACAGAAAAAGTTGATTAACGTGGGGAGTGAAAAGAAAATTGATTGAAAGTCCTCTCACAGGGTATTCGGATCTTTGATATTCCTCCACTACTTTATGTAGAATAACAGCAACACAGAATTTATATCTTTCCCCACTGTGTACCTTTTCCTCTCAGACCTTATCTCCAAATAAATTACTGAGTTCTTATCTAAAGAAACTAAATTATTCAAGGGAAAAGATTTCTACATACCCAAATTTGAATATCCCTATGAATCAGTGGCTCCATGTAGAAAGCCTGTTGTCTTGGTTACTTTTCTCTTGTTGCTGGGACAAAATATCTGATGCCCAAAGTTAAGAAATGAAAGGTTTATTTAGCTTGCAGTTTGTGGAGGTTTCAGTCCATACTTGGCTGGCTGCAAGGCCAGGTGGCCCATGGCAGAAGGCTATAGTTCATGGTGGTGGGGAAGACAGGAAAAGCAGCAAGAGCAAAAGGGAGGAGCAGTGGCAAGCAGCCTCTTTCTCTCCCTTACATAGTATGCAAACTACTCACCCTGGAGCTGGTGTAGCACCCACATCCATAATCCCAGCATTGGATCATGGATCAACCCTAAACTCTATAAGCCCACCCCGTGACTGCATGAGGCTTTGAGGGGACATCCAGAAATAAACCATAACATTCCACCCCTGGCCCCCCAAACGACTCATGTACATCCCTTTAAGCAAAAGACATTTTAGTCCATCTCTAAGATTTGCCAAAGTCCCAAGAGTCCAAGTTCCAAGTCTCTTCCAACATGTAAGGCATACTCTCAGCTGCAAGCCCCTGCACAAATGAAAAGTTAAACACTTCCCACAGTCAATGGCACAAAATAGACATTACCATTCCAGAAGGTACAAACAGGGGGATACAAAGCATTGTGATCAAAACAAATCTAACATTCAGCAGAGCAAACGTGTCCTGTAGTTCCATGTCCAGCATCTGAAGCAATTTGTGGCACATTGTGAGCTCTGAAGGGCTTGCATGAGTCCACTCCTATGGTACTTCCAGTAGTTACAGCTCCCACAGTTTCTCTCTTGGGCCCACTTTGCACCCTCTTGCAGCTTTCCTCAGACAGTCCATGTTCCTGGCTTTTCCAAACTTTTGAGGTCTCCACTGCACCTTTCGCATCACATACACTGCCCTCTCAGGGGCACACTGCCTGGCCTTCCAGGCCTTCTGAAATCAAGCTGGAAGCCTTTTTAACCTCAGAACTCTTGCATTCTGTATGCACCTAAAACCAGTGCCACGTGGATGATGCCAGGTCTGCTGCCACCTGGAGCAGTAGCCAAACTTTCCCCTCTCTTGGCCATAAGGATTGAATGCCTAGGTCGCTGGGCACTCTGAATCCAATTCTGAGGAGCAGATGCTCTGTGCCGCCGCCATTCTGGAGCCTGGTGCAGCGCCACCGCCATTCTGTAACGTGGCGCTCTGCGGCTTTCTTCTCAAAGCAAAGTCTTTCACCTTTGCAGTTTTGAGGCTGCAAAAGGTGGAGACTTGTTGCTTCTTTTGATGCCCTCAGGCCATCTTTTCCATTCCCCTGTTTCTTCTCAGCAATAGAGATCTCCTAAGCTTTATCTTTGCAATCCACAGCTTTACTGGAGCTTCCTTTCTGGCCAAACTCGCAACATTTTAAATCATCCTGCTGGGTGGGCTCTTTGCTCTTGATTTTCAATATAAATCTGGCTAAAAGCCCCAACGATAGCCACTCCACTGCCCCAATATTCGACTGCCTTAAAATTTCTTTTGCCAGATTAATCAGTCTGCTGCCACCCTTAATCTCAGTCTCAGGCAAAGTTCTCTGGACATGAGCAAAACACAAACAAACTTTCTGCCAAGCCATTACATACATCATCTGGAGTCCAACAACCAGTGCAGTGACCTCCTGAATCCGGTCTTCACCAGCAGGATTTCTGTCAGCCTTCTGGTCTTCTGAGCTCTGACCAGAATCTCCCATACAGAACAGGAAAAGGTGTTCGAACTCTGCTCTTTCAGGCAATATCTCCAAACATTTCCCACAAGCCATTTCTGAAGGCTGTTGAACCACATGGTCAGGTATAGTCACAGCAATGACCCCACTTCTCTGGTACCATATTCTGTCTTGGTTACTTTTCTCTCATTGTTGGGACAAAATATCTGATGCCCAAAATTAAGGAAGGAAAGGTTTATTTAGCTTACAGTTTGTGGAGGTTTCAGTCCATATTTGGCTGTCTCCAAGGCCAGGTGGAAGATGGCAGAAGGCTACAGTTCATGGCAGCAGAAGACAGAAAAAGCAACAAGAGCAAAAAGGAGAAGCAGTAGCAAGCAGCCTCTTTCCCTTGCTTACACTGTATGCAAACTACCCACCCCAGTGCTGGTGTAGCACTCACATCCATAATCCCAGCATTGGACCATGGATCAATCCTAAACTCTGAAAGCCTGCCC